TTAGATATTATAAATGTATGTTTTATTTAAAATTGATATAATATTACCTATGGACATTCATATTATAAAAATGGTATATAATGCACAATTGATTGTTATTGCCCATAAGGTTAAAATGGTAAATAACACACAATTGATTGTTATTGCCCGTAAGGTACTCTTTTTCGACAATATTCCTACACATAGGAACCTCCTCCTTCTTTTTTTCTATTTTCCAATATGAACTTTCCGTTTTAGCTTTAATGATTAAATCTTTTTTTTAATCATATAAATGTTACAAAATGTTAAAGAATTTTTACGTGATTGATCAGACTAATATGTGAAGGGTCTTATTAACCGTATAATTATTAAGTAAATAAAAATATGATATCTCTATCTAGTTTAACTATTGAATGATATGATGATATATATACATTAATTTTTTTTATGTATCAATAATGGAGTAACATGTTATATTGTCCATACTCTCGATGTCTAAACTTTAGTATGAGTAGGAGCCTTAAGTGTCCGATATTGGGGTATCTATTGTAACGACTTGTTCCCGTCGTTATAGAAAAAGCCAACGGGGGGAAATTTGGGGCCGGAATTTTTTTTCCGTAGTATTTGGATTTTCCCAACCTAGTCAAGATTTGGACGAAATCGGAGTCTTTAAGGTGTAGGGAAACCTGGTAACAATTGGGTGAATTATTTATGATTTTGATTACATGAGTAGTTAGATAACTCGTTAAGGAACCCGTACAACTCTACGAAATTGAATTCGGGCGAATAGAACTCCCGGAATCGATCTTAGCATGAAAGGTATTTTCTGAGCGTCGTGGGTTAGAGGTGTGTTGTTAAATGGGGATTTTGAAATTCTTCAAATAACTCTATGTTTCGTGCAACCCGCCTTGGCGAGGATTTTGGTCGCTCTGGCGAGGTCGCCACAGCGGGCTGAGGGCCGCTGTGGCGGGTTCGACGCGATTTAAGGTCGTTAATAAATCCCTAAACGACTTTATTATGGATTTTTCGACTTTTAGAGCAAAAGAACGAATCCCAAGCGACTCCTAGTCATTTTTCGTCATTCTTGAGGCTAAAGGTAAGTTTTTCACTCCACGAATCCATTTTTCGATCCGTAGAACGTAATAGAATGGGTGAATATTGATGGGGGAAGATTTTATTATAGATTATATGGTGGAAACAATCCTAATTTGGATAATTGAGATCATAAGTTTGATCTAGGGTTCATAGAAATGTTAGTAATTCGGGTAATTAGTGGTTGTTTATTGATTCCCGTATTATATTGCTTGTTTGTAGACCAAGAACAAGCGAAACAAATCCGGAAAGGGAATGATCAAGTTTCTTAGGGTTTCAAGCTTGTTTCGAGGTAGGTGATGGTTGTGATTCTATGATTGTGTGATGTATGTTTGTTCTTGCTTCATTATGATACGTGTATATATATGAATGTTGCATTATTGATCACACTTTTTGTAAATGAGATAGATGAATGATGGTTACCTTGAAATCATGACTTAATTGTATGATCTTGAGGATATACTTGTGATTGTGATTGTGATTGTGGTGTGTTGAATGGATCGGTTGCCACGTTTTGGCATAACTAACTTGGATCGGTTGCCATGTTCCGGCATAATTATGGGATCGGTTGCCATGTTCCGGCATAATCATGGGATTGGGTACCACGTTCCGGTATGCTAACTGTTTGGGTTTGGGTTCCATGAGAGGACCAATGATTTGATATAATTGTGTATCTTGAGAAATGTGAAGTTCTTCATTGTTCGTATATGTTGATGATATTGTATATGTTCGATAAATGCATGTGATTATATTGTTGTATTGACTAATGTATGTTAACACTTAGTGGGATAGTCGCATGATCCTACCCGTACACTGTGGTTGTGTACTGATACTGCACTTGCTCTTACTTTTGTTGAGTACAGGGCATGTTCAAGCCGCTACTGACAGACCTCGCTTAGGAGATCAGTGATCGTTCAAATTTAAGAGTGAGCCAATTACGGGCTGCAATGAGTTCTCTTTCGTCTATGTCCACCATTTCCGGACTTAGACTATGTTCTAGTTAGTTGATTAGTTCATTAGATTGGGGTTGCATGTTTAGACTTGTTAAACTTTAGATGTTTTGGTGCATTGACTTTCAGGTTCTAGGCATTACTTCCGCATCGTTAGTTTATTATTGTTAGACTTTTGTTAGAGTTTATGGGAACTCTATTTATTTCCTTAGTATTTAAATTGCTTCCGTAACTTAAATGCCTTAGTTTTGGTTTAGTTGCTTGATTTGGGTTGTAGTAGTGGTTCTTCCACCGGAGAGTTAGTGTGGGTGCCAATCACGACGATCTGGGTCGTGACAAAAATGAAATGTTGTCTCCTCACATAATCTCACCAATCTTCACCTTTTAAATTACTAACTTATCTAATTTCGTATTAAGTTCTAGAGTGTTATATATAGTAATACAAATATTATGACATACATTTTAAAACAATAATTTTTTTTAAAAAAAACTTTCTAAAAAAGAAAAAATCAATACTCAATTAAATTATATTATATAAATTAAAATAAAAGGGACTACAATGTAAGCGAAATATGTAATTGATGAGACATTTCATTCGCAAATTAACATTTCTTTAATCTTGAGTCTTATTCTAAATAAATGTGTATAATAAATCCCCCACCCCCAAAAAAAGTTTATATAAAAATTGAAAATAACACTCAAATTCTAAACAATAGACAAATATCTCCTTTTCTTTGATTTTCCATCCAAACACTATCTAGTCATTAGGCAACCACTAGAAGCTAAAAGATCTATTTTTGTTAATCTTCACAATTTTCTCAATCTTCAAAATTATTATAATCTCTCTTGTTTTATATGTATATAATCTATTTTCCAAGTTTTAATATATAAAAAACAGAAAATTTAGTCATGCTAATTGAAAGGACAGGGAAATTTGTTTATGAAAAGTAAGAATGATCATTTTGATTATAGTTGGCAGGTCGATATTCTTAAATCTAAATTCATTGAAAAGACATAAAAGATGGATCTTTGTCTGTTGTTAAATGTCCGTCTTTAGCGCCAAAATGATCTTTATTCATTTATTGGTCATGATTAATCCTTAATTGGCCATACTTAAATTCTTCGAGAACACAATGTAAATATGTCTAACAAAAGAAATTTAAAAATATATTGAAGTACTAATATTAATTTGCATCAATTTATTTGTGCATAGATGAAGTAATAAGTAGAAAATTCGTTAAAAGTCACAATATCTCCTCATAATCTTCATGCCAGCCAAACAAAGTTAATTATTCAAATTGGAATTTACCTTCTAAATATACTCCTATATAACTATCCACAATGATTGAAACTTAAAAACATACTTCCTTCGTCCCATATTAGTTGATCATTATACTAAAAATAGTTGTCTTATTCTCCTTCCATTTCAAAAAGAATGACTTCCTTTCTTTTTAGTTTGTTTAAAAAAGAATGACTTTTTTTTTTTGTAACATTTTACTTTCAGCTTTCTACGTGACATGTTTAAGACCACAAGATTAAAGAACAATTTTGTACATTTGACATAACTTTAATTTAGGATCACAAGATTCAAAAGTTTCTTTATTTTCTTAAACTTCGTGTCAAGTCAAACTAGGTCACTCTTTTTTAAACAGAGAAGTATTAGTTGTCTATCATACTAAATCAAGAAAATATTAATGAAATCTTTTCTACATTCCTCTTGCAATTTATTCTTTTAGAAAATGTTTACATTTGTTCGTAAAATTTTAAAAAGTTTATAAGAGATGAATTAGTAAAATTATCTTCTTATTTATGATTTTTTAAGCACTGCTCAAAATGAAAAGTGATCAACAAAAAGATTAAATGTCTGTTTGGATTGACTTTTACATTTTGATTTATATGTCAAAAGTCATAACATATTTTTATCATTTTAGCTTAAAACAAAATACTAATAAACATTTTTCAAATATACCCAACACCCCAAAATTCTAGTGCTTAAAAAATTATTCTAACTTAAAAGTACTTAAAACAAATCAATTTAAACATGCTCTAAATTAATATATACAGAAATTATTTTACATTATTGAGAAATATTAGCTAAAATTTTAAATTAAGAGGAGTAAAATAACTCTTATAATCGACTAGGATGAATAAAACCAGAGATCTCAACTTATTTGAGTAAATAAATCTTATTCGACGTAAGCTCAAATAATATTCTAAAACCAAAGGAACCCCAAAGATAAAGATCCTCTAAGGGGTTATATGTAATTTAACAAAAGAAAGTAGATATCGTTGGGAACACATAGTTAAATTTTGTTAAGTATTGGAGTATTAAACTAGAAACTATAGATATTGCCAAAGCTATTCTGCATAAAAAGGAAAGATGCTTTGGTCTTTTTCTCCAGACACTTACTGGTAACTGTACCCACAGTACTGTCTCTTTTCTTCAGCAGCAGTAGCAGCTAGCGCTACTGATTCTCATGAATGAAAGAAGAGAAAACAAAAGATTGGAGGAGAGGGGTGTGATATTGTATAGAGTTGTGATGACTAGTAAGTAAAAGTAGTACTAGTGTTATCAATGAATATAATGAAGTTTGTTTGTGTCTGAAGAGTTTGAAAGAGACTACTCTGCCAACTTTGGCACTGAAAAACATGGTGTTTTCACCTTTAACATTTATAAGGATGCACAGGAAAAGGACTATTATCTGATTCCTCTTCTTTTTTCAAAATTTTAATTGGCAGTACACTTCTTTAATACTGGGGTCACCCTTACCCAACAAAGATCTCTAAATAGTCCAAATGCAAAATCTAACACATTACAAAAATTTTAAGAGTGAGAGACCAGATAACATAATTTAATTCTCTGTTTTTCTCTGTTTTTTTTTTATTAAAAATATATATATATATACAGCTCATTCAACTCAATGAAATAGTTTACTATATTAATGAGTACTAGTAGTGAAATGAAGAACCCCTGCAAAATTTGATACCAAGAAATCTCACATTATTGCCTTTGTTGAAAAAAAAAAAAAAAAAACACCATTATGACAGTCACCGTGCAAGAATTAAATAAAAAAAATTACACCAAATACTCCTTTTTTTTAACCATACAACCCTTCATTAAGTATTCTTAGCATCACCACCACCCTCACTACACTACTAGCTATAATCATATAATGAACAAACATAAAAATAAAAGTAACTAACGTTGAGAAAGTTTGAGATGTTCGTTTTGATTGATATTGTTGGCAACTTCATGATGATGACCTTCTGATAAACCCGAAGAAATATAACTCAATGCCAATGAGTTATTTTCATCAACAATACTAACTCTGGTAGTTGATTGGAATTTCTGTTTGCAAGAATGACAAGTGATTTGTGAAAGTGTAGAGTTGATTTGCTTGATGGCATGTTCTTTCAAAGCATTAGCCTTATCCAACTCCGCTTGTGCTTGTTGTCTAATTCTCTTAGCATTTGCAAATTCCTGCTCAGCCAACTCGATCTGTCGCTTCGCTTGCTGCCTCGCCTCTTCCGCGTACGCCTTTTCTGACATCGCTATCCTTAGCTGCTCCGTTGCCTCATCTTTCAGTCTCAAAGCATCTGAACTACGCTTCTCATTCGCGTTTTCTGACGACTCGTTGAAGTCTGAAGAGCCAATGGAGAGTTGGAGATTGTAAGCTGAATGATCTTCGTTTGGTTTAGATGATACGGAGACGTCAAATGCCGGGCTAGATGATGATGTAGTAGTAGTCAAGAGCTGTAGCTCCAAATTGTGTTTGTTTGTACAATTTTTTATGATGTTGGGATTAGCATGATGAGTAGCTGCAGCTGCAGCGGATGACAGTTTTTTTAGCAATGTACTAGACCATGGTGTGGTGCTGAGATTCGTGTCGCTAGACGGGCTAGGAGTACTAGAAGCTGTGCGAGAAAGGCAAGGTGGATGTAAGGATTGTGATTCAGATCGGAGTCTGCCCATGCTACAAGCGTCTTGATGCTCAATGAAGCTTTCCACCCTACATGAAGAAAGAAAGAATAGAAAGGAATCAATTTTTTCGTCATGCAAATAGTAATTTACTTGTTTGGTAAAAAAAAGTAAAGTGGTAATGATTTTGAAAAAGTGAAAAAAAAAAAGGACAACTTCATCAAATGCTGGTAATATGTGATGATTCAAACTTATCATTGATGAATATGGGAGAAAGTAACTAAGAAGAAAAGCATAACTATGTTAGGCAAAATTACAAGAACTTAGCTAAACCAAAAGCATCTTCATAAATACACATTTGACGTACAATAAGAAAAAAAAAATACTACTACTACTATACACTAGAAGGATAACTAACATCCTCATTCTTCTTAATTAATTAGCAAACAGAATGTTTTTTTTTTCTTTCGTGGGAGTCAATTTCATTCTTCTAGGAAACATAGAATAATGAAAACGATTAAGAAAACAAAAACACGTTGATTATTTAAACGAAACGGATTCAGATTCTTAATTTTTTTTATTGAAACTTAAGAATAACTTATGAAAGACTATTTATTTAAAAGTATAAAATAAAGTACTCGTATTAAGGCAACTAGTATCATTTATATCTGAAGAAACAGTTTACTAATTTTGCGGACTTTGTTTAATATTCCTTCTCTTTCCAAAAGACAGACTAAACAGCCGTTACAAAATCAAAAAAATCCGTAAACCCTCGTATAGAAATCGTTTGTTTTGGACCAAGACATGACATTGTACTACTCATTCGTAGATTTTAAGAATCATTTTTATTTTTAAAAAAATAATAAGAAGAGCTTAATATAGTATTGTTCCAAGCACATACAACATATCTCGTAAGGTAGAAGAGTATACCTTGAAAAAACGCGGCCACAATCACAAGAATGGCCACGAGTGCCGCAAGTTTTAAGATGAGCTTTGTAATCAGACTGAACCGCATATCCTTTTGAGCATTTCTCACAAACCCATTGCTTGTGATTACTGTGTTTTCTACGGAAATGCTTTTTAATACCGACGAGATCTCCTAAGGCATGACAAGGATCATGGTGGAGACAAGTTGGTTCTGGGCAAACGAAAACGCGCTTTCTAACAATTGGGGTTTCTCTTTTAAGCAGCTTCCATGGAACTTTATGCCTTCTTCTATGCATCTGTAAGTTTTGGTCTCTCTGAAATCCCTGATTACAGATCTCACATACGTATCGATCCGATTCCAGTAACGTTTTCGGTGAAAGCGATACAACTTCTGCATCTGGATCTAGTAGAATTAAACAAAAAAAATTTAAAAAAATAGTTAGCACAATTCATCTGATCAAAAAAACGATAGGTGTGTGTTCGATTCTTACTATAGTAATTGAATTATGCATACCTGGAGTTCCTGCAGGTCTTCGTTTTCGTCTACTAGCATTGTTTGCATTTTCTGAGGAATTAAACGGGTCGGATGAAGAAGAGGGATTGTTATTGCTTAACATGGCTGATCAATAGATATGAAAATTCAGTAAAATTAACAAGTTAGGGATAGCTAAGTGGGTGTATTAATCTTAGGTTTTTGAAGAAAAAAAAGGGTTAATTACAACATGAAAAAATAAAACTATGGAGAAGAAAGAGAGATGGGAATTGGAGAAGAAGAAATTAAAACACAGATAAATCCATGGAGGAAAATAATAAAAAGGGTCTTTTCTTCTTTACTTTCTCTCTTTCGGTTATCATCAGCTTTCTTTTAGCTTTTCAACTTTCAGCTTTTCATCAGCTTTCTCTCATAAAACTTTTCCCTTTGCCAGATATTGTTGAAGAGTCACACCCCTTAATAAAAACTTCAAGGTTAGGTTCGGAACAAAAAAAATAAATTAAAAGCCTTTTTTAAAATTAAAAAAAAATACATTTATTTTATTTTGAGAGAAGTATTGAGAATATTCCTGAACTTTATGTAAATTATAAATTTTGTCCTCGAATTATTGATAGCTTTAAAAACGTCATTTTATTTGACTAACTAAATTTAGATACATTCCGATTTGCTATATGATAGCGAGTGGTCTCAAATTATTATAGAAGCATGAAATTCTTAGTAAAAATCTGAGAGAAGTGTCGAAAACACTTTTAAATTGGAGAGAATTTAGAAATGAATTTCACTGATATTGTAAGATTAAGGATGCGTGCTTAATTAATTACCTAAAGGTTATTATTAGTTCGAAGATGAAGAATTTAAGGGTGTTTTCAATTATTATTTTTTTTGGAGAGGGTGGGGGGTGGGGGTATTTGAGAGAGTTCTTGACCCAATCATAATGTTCCAAACTTGATATATATAATGAGGTAGGAGTACTACTGAAGACAAGGAAGAAAAAAGAAAGAAGCCAAACAAATAAAAACAGAAGATCATTATTTGTGGGCACAGTAAATTTGCATACACATATAAATACAAAGTAGAGACTCCAGTATTATAACACCCACAGGGCCATTTACATCCTACACGTAAGGATTTCTTTTTTGTCAGCCTCTTTCTCTGCATACAGTGAGTGTCTAGCTAGCTAAATACTAACCCCCTTTATTTTGATGCAAATTTATTACACTGCTAACAAAATTAATTTCTTTACCTTTAATCAATATACCTTTTTCACCTTCATAGGATGTGGTGTAGTATCGTAATGGTGAAATTATTTCATCCTTAATTAAAGATCTTGAGTTTGAGCCATGTGTATAAAAAAAACACCACCACTAAATGGATTCTGCAATATATGATCCAAATATAATTGGAACTTTAATACAGACTTCGGACACTGAGTAGAAAGTTTTATACCTTTTTTTGATATTTATGATGGCAAATAGCGAATATTCTGTAAAATTAATCAAGATATGTGCAAATTGATCGAAGGATCATGATTATAAAAGATGGATCTACTTTTTTTAAATTGAGTAAATTTCTGTGAGTAATTTTTGCTTAATTAACATTGTAAATTACGAGTTTGTCCCTCCATTCATGGGAGCTAATAGAGTAGAAAAGGACATTCCATCCCTACTCCCGAAGATGCACAATGATTCGAATTTACAAGCAGCTTTTTTATTTGAAAGGACTGTCTAGTCAAAGCTTCCTAAAGGGTGTTTTGGTCATTTTATAGCGATTACTTAGTGTGTGCACATCAACTTTTGGTACAACAACAGCATCGATAAAACAGTGTTAGCATTTTGCAACAGTAGATTTCTTCTGCATATGACGTATGGTTATTACTTTTTGTTTTATTATCCTATGTTCGATATTTAAAATATGATTCAATTGATTGTGAGTCAGGAATTTCATATTAAGACATAAAATACTGCATGATAAAAATTATCTTAAATTCATAATTTGAATTTGAATAATAAATAAATGCTTACAATTCTATCACACATCGTTGTAGCTTGGTGGTCACATAATTAGTTAGCACTCCTAAGAAAAATCCTACTCATATTTGAATTATATAATATAATACAATATAAACTATATTCAGACAGATAGATTAACCCAGTATTAATATCGGAAATTCTTTTACAACACAAAAATGGAGGGTCCAATATAATTGTAATTTCTGGTGAAAAAGTTCAACTTATATAACACATAAATAAAGAGGAGTAATAATTTGCTGACCAGCCTTAAATGTTCTCTTCTCACATGACCCCCACACCCCACCCCCTCCAAATAATAATTAAAAAAAGAAGAAAGCAATATTTTGAGCAATTATAGTTCAATAACGAACAAAAATTGTAGGATTAGTTCTAATTAATGTGGCAGTGGAGAACTAATCATGAGATGCATGCTAATAACAACATGGATTACATGATCAGTCATGTGTCTTGTTCTCATAAACACAAGATTGGAAATACAAACATTTAACACTAAAGTTAGAACTTTAATTTTGGTACATGTATAGTGTCCTACCAGAACAAACATCACTTATGTTAATTTCAATTCACAATATTTTTATGTCTAAGTTATGTATATCTATACACCGAAATACACCTATCACTACAATAAAACACACACTTAGAGGAAATAGATTTTCATTGTATTGCCGCAAAAATATTTAGCGGCAATTGATCATGTAACCTTTTGGTTGTTAATTGATTGTTGTAGTCCCGGAAAGAAACTTGTATAGGCTACTTCCTTTCTTTTAGATTGTCTAATCAATCTTTTTTTGCTCGTTAGATGTAAGATACATGTCCCCTCTAATCTTTTGCAAGTCTATCTACTTAAATCACATGGTAGGGGTCTAGCCAACCCCTCACCCCCACACACACTCTCGGCTCACAACCTATTGGTGATGACTTTTTTTTTTTTATAAAAGTAATGTCATTATATATATTCAGAATTGTTAAGATTCTTTAATAATATTTATATAGAGTATTAATTAGTTATAAATACTAATATAGCGGCAATTATATACATCATTGCCGCTAAATGCTTTAGTTACATATGTACGAATATTTGTATGTTAATGTCAATTCACAATAATATATCAGGTCCTTTGTCTTTAAGGTATTTTAGTACACACATATACGTACATTACGAAGACTACTTCCTAATGAAGGAAAAAAATAAAAGTGAAAACGAATGACAAGAAAAACTTACAGGTTAAGGAATTAGCTACAGTAATAACTTTTGGCAAAGAAAATAAAATTAATGTATGCACAAATTAATTAGAATACAAAAGTGTGAAATAAATTCCAGCAAAATTCATTGGATATGGTACTGTAAGGAAAAAAGTTAATCAAAATGAATATATAGTACTATACCACATTATGATTTGTGGTAAAAGTGTCTTATGGAGCTGTAATATTCCTCTTTGAAGAGAGAACGTGCATGTTTTTTTTTCTCTTTAGTACTGTCAATAATAAATTTAGTTATACCGTAAATTCAAGATTTAAAATTTATATATATTTTTTATCATTTCAAATCTTAAGTTTATATAAATAGCAGAAGAAATTAGTTTGACCCAAAAAAGAAAAAAGTGGAGGAAAAAGAAAAAGATGAGATTTTGTCATATATTCATGACTGAAAAAGTTATAGACAGATCCACGCTCCCTGCGTGCACCAATATGATGATAATCATTATGTATGTATATACAAAATTCAAAAGATAGTAAGTACTATAGTCTATACTAACAAATTATAATGAAAAAGAAACTTAGATCGGAATCTTGTTATTACTTTCTACGTACTTCCCATATATCAATCATGTCACTATTTTTTTTCAACCATCTTTCCCATATAGTTGTGAATATTTTTTTTCATAACCGGCCAAGTTGTGGATACTTTCCTTTTTCAATGGTCGACTTTTATGTTTAGGAAGTATTGTCTGTAGATCAAAATAGGTTGAATTGGTAAATAAATAGATTATTGTTTCACTCAAAAATTATTTGGATGGAAATAGACTAATTTAAAATAAGTTATATTAGGAGTGTACAAAATCGAATCGAATCGCAGTCAAATCGAAAAAAACTCGACTAGTGATTTGGTTTGACTTGATTTGGTATTTAAAAAAAAAACCCGACTATATTTGGATTGGTTTGGTTTTAACTAAAACAAACCAACCAGAGACCAAACCAACTCGACATTATATATATAATTTTAAAATTTAATTTTATACATAAAAATATTTACTTTGATATAATTTTAAAAATATTTCTTATACTTTTTCATAGTTTTTATCTTTTAATATATTATTTCAAATTTGAAATTTAGAATTCTAAATTGTTCAATAAAGATTATAGTCCACAAATGTTGGTAATTATAATAAAACTTAAATCAAAATCAAATTAATACTAATGCAAAAAGAAAATCAATTCAACACTAAGAATGACAATAATATTGAATTTTTAATTTGTTCTTTAGTTTTACATTGGTTTAGACAATTAAAATACATAATCTAATTTTAATTTCCTTTAATATTTAGTCATATAACTAATACTTATTAAACTTTAGTACTTTTAAATTATGATCATTTTCATTATGATTTGTTAATTTGCAATATTTATTTTACGCGATTTCATTATTATTATTTTTGTTGGATATTTTAGTGTCATTAATCATATCATATTTTGTGTTATTTTCTTAAGAAACACCTTAGATAGTTGTATTTTGGTAGGACTAAAGAAATATTTGAAGTACAAGTAAATTATATATTTGTATGAATACTTTATCGGAAAAACCCGAAAAACCCTGAAAAATCCAAAAAAGACAAAAAACCCGAGTTTTATTGATTTGGTTTGGTTTATAAATTTAAAAATCCGACACAAATGATTTGATTTGATATCTAAAAAATCCGAACCAACCCAGCTATGTACCCCTAAGTTATATAATGAGTCATAGCTAGGTTGATAGCATAACCTCAACTCATGTTTTAAATTTTTTTGTTTGTCTTATTAAAATTTGCTTAATTACCTATCAAATAGAAAGTAGTTTTTAAAATTCTTTTTGGGGCTTTTGTATGGATATACTAAAATAAATTCATATTTACACAACTAGTACTTCTTCGACATAATTTATCTGATTTTATTTTACTTAATACACATTTTATAAATAAAAAAAAGACTTATAATATTTATAATCTAGAATAAATTAGAAATGTTTGTGTACTTATAAATCATCTCATTAAAAGTAAATATGTATTTCAAATTGAAATCAATACTAAATGTAAAAATCGACGTACACAACATCTTTCACTTGTATGTTACTCGTATGTAGGATTTGTTGTTCTTCACAATTCTTGTCTCTAACTATTGTTTATGTACTTTGTTGTCCACATCCAATTTTGAGGAAATACTTGTC